ACTTAATTTCTCTCCCTTCCCCCTCCCTCCCTTCCTCCCCTCCTCTCCTCTCTCTCCCCCTCCCCTCCCTCTCCTTTCTCCCTCCCCCTCTTCCCCTCTCCCTACCTCACCCCTCCCCTCCTGCCCTTCCCCTCTCCTCCCTCACCCCCCACGTAATTTCTCCCCTTCCCCTCCCTCACCTTCCCCCCTTTCTTCACTTCCCCCTCCCCCTCCCTCACCCCTCCTCCCACTCACCCCCCCCACTTAATTTCTTCCCCTTCCCCTCACCTTCCCCCTCCCTCCCCCTCCCCTTTTATCTAACACCAGAAGCTTCTCGATGAAGTCCTTGGCGTCGTCCGAAACGCAGTTGAAGGCCTCGTCCGAAAAGTCGTATTTGTTGTGGGTCACGTTGGTCATCGTCTCCACGTAGTTGTGGCCCATGAACGGTGACAGGCCGGATAGTCTGCGGGAGTTTGTGGATAGTGAGGTGGATAATAAAAGGCCGGATAGTCTGCGGGAGTTTGTGGATAGTGAGGTGGATAATAAAAGGCCGGATAGTCTGCGGGAGTTTGTGGATAGTGAGGTGGATAATAAAGGCCGGATAGTCTGCGGGAGTTTGTGGATAGTGGGTGGATAATAAAAGGCCGGATAGTCTGCGGGAGTTTGTGGATAGTGGGGTGGATAATAAAAGGCCGGATAGTCTGCGGGAGTTTGTGGATAGTGGGGGTGGATAATAAAAGGCCGGATAGTCTGCGGGAGTTTGTGATAGTGGGGTGGATAATAAAAGGCCGGATAGTCTGCGGGAGTTTGTGGATAGTGGGGTGGATAATAAAAGGGATAGTCTGCGGGAGTTTGTGGATAGTGGGGTGGATAATAAAGGCCGGATAGTCTACGGGAGTTTGTGGATAGTGAGGTGGATAATAAAGGCCGGATAGTCTGCGGGAGTTTGTGGATAGTGGGGTGGATAATAAAGGCCGGATAGTCTGCGGGAGTTTGTGGATAGTGGGGTGGATAATAAAAAGGCCGGATAGTCTGCGGGAGTTTGTGGATAGTGGGTGGATAATAAAAGGCCGGATAGTCTGCGGGAGTTTGTGGATAGTGGGGTGGATAATAAAAGGCCGGATAGTCTGCGGGAGTTTGTGGATAGTGGGTGGATAATAAAAGGCCGGATAGTCTGCGGGAGTTTGTGGATAGTGGGGTGGATAATATAAGGCCGGATAGTCTGCGGGAGTTTGTGGATAGTGAGGTGGATAATAAAGGCCGGATAGTCTGCGGAGTTTGTGGATAGTGAGGTGGATAATAAAGGCCGGATAGTCTGCGGGAGTTTGTGGATAGTGAGGTGGAGGCCGGATAGTCTGCGGGAGTTTGTGGATAGGAGGTGGATAATAAAAGGCCGGATAGTCTGCGGGAGTTTGTGGATAGTGGGGTGGATAATAAAAGGCCGGATAGTCTGCGGGAGTTTTGTGGATAGTGAGGTGGATAATAAAAGGCCGGATAGTCTGCGGGAGTTTTGTGGATAGTGAGGTGGATAATAAGGCCGGATAGTCTGCGGAGTTTGTGGATAGTGAGGTGGATAATAAAGGCCGGATAGTCTGCGGGAGTTTGTGGATAGTGAGGTGGATAATAAAGGCCGGATAAGGTGAAATCGGATGCGGGGTTGGGAACAGTGAAGTGGATAGTGGATTAGATATAGGCCGGGTAGTGAGGTGGATAATAAAAGGCCGGTTAATGTGAAATCGGATGCGGTGATGGAGAGAGTGAAGTGGATAGTGGATTAGTTATAGGCCGGATAGTGAGGTGGATAATAAAAGGCCGGATAATCTGCGGGGGTTGGAGAGAGTGAAGTGGATAGTGAGGTGGATAATAAAAGGCCGGATAAAGTGAAATCGGATGTGGGGTTTGGAGATAGTGGGGTGGATAATAAAAGGCCGGATAAGGTGAAATCGGATGGCAGGGTTGGAGATAGTGAGGTGGATAATAAAAGGCCGGATAACCTGAAATCGGATGCGGGGGTTGGAGATAGTGAAGTGGATAGCGAGGTGGATAATAAAAGGCCGGATAAGATGAAATCGGATGCGGGGATTGGGGATAGTGAAGTGGATAGTCAGGTGGATCGGGGAGCTTAGCAATAGACCGGATAGTGAGGACTGTGAGGTGGATAATAATATGACGGTTAGTGTGACATCGGATGCGTGGTTGGAGATAGTGAAGTGGAGAGTAAGTGGATAAGTAAGCTTATCAACTGGCCGGATAATCTGAAATCGGATGCGGGTTTGAGATAGTCAGGCGGACAGTGAGGGGATCTGACATAGTGAAGTGGATAGTGAGGTGGATCGGGAAGCTTAATAATCGGCCGGATAGTGAGGTGGATAATAATTGTCCAGAAAGTGGATACTGAAGGAATCGGGAATCTTAATAAAAAAGTGAAATTGATGGTGAACAGTAATGGTGAACACAGAACATATTAATAAAAAGTGAAATTGATGGTGAACAGTAATGGCGAACACAGAACACATTAATAAAAAAGTGAAATTGATGGTGAACAGTAATGGTGAACACAGAACACATTAATAAAAAGTGAAATTAATAGTGAACAGTAATGATGAACACAAAACACATCAATAAAAAAGTGAAATTGATGATAAACAGTAGTAGTGAACACAGAACACAAAACATCTATCCTCAGAAATGTGAATTTGGAACCTGACCTTAAACTCGTAGTGATGTGACGGTAAATTTTGATCATGAACCTCAATTAATTGTGATATTGAAATCAAACTGACTGTGATGTTAAAGTAAAATTTAAGTGATCATAAATTAATAGTGATTGGGTACAGTGACCAGTTTTTTTTATCTTGATAGTGACTTAAGCAGATAATAAACGGTTGGTGATCTAATTCTAACAATGCATTTTAATTTATATATATATATATATATATATATATATATATATATATATATATATATATATATATATATATATGCAATAAAGTTAATCCTGACAGTGATAACGACAACGACCACACAAACAAACTCACAGCACATAAAAAATGATACTTATGCTCCACATAAAACAACATAAAGACCAACATAAGACACAAACACCAAGACAAAACTCACAGCACAAGAACTCCAACATACACACCAACATAGAACTCACAGCACATAAGAAACAGCCCCGACGCTCCACATATCGCCCCCGAAGCCGGACAACATAAACACCAACACAAAACTCAGCCACAATAACCCCAACATAAACCCCAACATAGAACTCACAGCACATAAGAAACAACACAGACGCTACACAGATCGCCCCCGAAGCCAACAATGAAACAACATAACACCAACACAAAACTCAGCCACAATAACCCGAACACAGCACATACAACACTCGCTACACAGATCACCCCCGATGAAACAACATACCAACAAAACTCAGCACAATAACCCAACATACACTCCAACATAGAACTCACAGCACATAAGAAATGACCCGACGCTTCACATATCGCCCCGAAGTCAACAACAAAACACATAAACACCAACAAAAATTAACAGCCACAACAACCCCAGCATACATTCCAACATAAACCCCAACATAGAACTCACAGCACATAAGAAATGACCACGACGCTACATATCGCCCCCGAAGCCGAACAACATAACCACCAACACAAAACTCAGCCACAATAACCCCAACATAGAACTCACAGCACATAAGAAATGACCACGACGCTACACATATCGCCCCCCGAAGCCGAACAACATAACCACCAACACAAAACTCAGCCACAATAACCCCAACATAGAGCTCACAGCACATAAGAAATGATCCCGACGCTCCACATGTCGCCCCCGCAGCCGAATAACATAAATACATACACAAAACTCACATCCACAATAACCCCAACATAGAACTCAAAGCACATAAGAAATGACCACGACGCTACACATATCGCCCCGAAGCCAACAACGAAACAACATAAACCCCAACACAAAACTCAGCCACTATAAACCCAACATAAACCCCAACATAGAACTCACAGCACATAAGAAACAACACAGACGCTACACAGATCACCCACGAAGTCAACAACGAAACAACATAAACACCAACACAAAACTCACAGCCACAATAACCCCAACATACACTCCAACATAAACCCCAACATACATTCCAACATAAACCCCAACATAGAACTCACAGCACATAAGAAATGACCCCGACGCTTCACATATCGCCCCCGAAGTCAACAACAAAACAACATAAACACCAACACAAAATTAACAGCCACAACAACCCCAACATACATTCCAACATAAACCCCAACATAGAACTCACAGCACATAAGAAATGACCACGACGCTACACATATCGCCCCCGAAGCCGGACAACATAAACACCAACACAAAACTCACAACCACTACACCAACATACACTCCAACATAAACCCCAACATAGAACTCACAGCACATAAGAAATGACCCCGACGCTCCACATATCAGTCCCGAAGCTGATGGGCTCAAAGTTGACGACTTCCGGAGCCACAAACTCAGGCGTCCCGAACAGAACTTGAAGCTTCTTGCGCGGGTCGTATTTTCGCGCCAATCCGAAGTCGCAGATCTTGATCCGGTTGCCCTCGCGAGACAGACACAGGATGTTCTCGGGCTGCGGAGATAGAGGGATAGATAGATGGATAGATGGGGGTGTGGATGGATAGATAGATGAATAAAGAGATAGATAGACAGATAGATGGTAGATGGTAGGTGGGTGATGGATGGGTGGATGGATAGATGGATGAATAAAGAGATAGACAGATAGATGGGTAGATGGGTGGGTGGATGGATGGGTGGATGGTTGGATAGATGTGTCTATATATATAATATAATATATATATATATATATATATATTATATATATATATATATATATATATATGTTGTTGTGTGTGTGTGTGTGTGTGTGTGTGTGTGTGTGTGTGTGTGTGTGTGTGTGTGTGTGTGTGTGTGTGTGTGTGTGTGTGTGTGTGTGTGTGTGTGTGTGTGTGTGTGTGTGTGTGTGTACGGTCAACAAAACAAAAACAAAAGGCTTTTTTTCGCGCACGCACACAACACTGGTGAGCAAAAGATCAACAATGGCCGCTGAATCAGCTGTGAGAACGATGTCAACCTACTACAAATCTCTCGATTTAGTTGCTAAAAAACGTCATGATGAAAAACTTAGGTATTCTAAAGGTACAGAAAGCTTACCAGATCCTTTCTCTCTCTGATGGCTGGTCTGAAAGCCCCAATGGTTGGCCCATGTTAGATTTGGTGATATTTATCTCTACCTATTACACACGCCGGGTAGTTACACAGAAAATGAGTTGAAAGCCTACAAATCACTCGAAGCTTGTAAATATATTTCTTAAGTTTTAAAACAAAACAGGATAATGGAATTTGGTATTCAACATAATGAAAAAATCAGAACACAGCTATTTGTATTTACTGGGCCATACTAATGTTTGGTTGACCGGCCTTTATACAAACACCTGGTGTTTACACATGAAAATAATTAAAGGCCTACAAATTTCTGGAAGGGTAAAATTAAGTACTCAATACTGCTTATAATAAGACTGGTTCGTAGTCGTAGGATTAAATTAAATTTAAATTCTCCTGAACTTGCAAAATTCTTTCTTGCTAGCTCTTTGCCTTTTAGGCCTGGTTTTTCGATAAAAGTTGCTCAAAACGGTTTTTATCAATATTTTTTCTGACGTTATAGCCAGACTTTTCTATAAGGTTAAATTTACATTCCCACGCAATACTCATCATACCTTGAAAAGATTGAAGCAAATTTCCTGAAGTTGTAGAGAGGGCAGTGTAGCAGTCATTAGATTTACTATCTTCATTTTGTTCTCATTTAATTTCTTACGACCTTTGGTCAGAGTAAATTTTAAAATCAAATAAACTGAAACTTAAGGTGAAAGAAGATACTCAATAGTAACCAGTCACCCACAACATCTACCACCGCCTAGACCTATGCCTAACCACGGGGAAATACATCCACTAAGAGTTATAACGATATAACAACCGTTTAAATTTTAGAATATCTTTATAGAAAAGCTCTTACATCACTCCCTGGTGCAGGATCAAAGTTCTTGCGATTGATAGCCAAAGCCTCCTTCTCTCTGGGTCTTTCGGAAAACAATTAAAACTCAAAGTTGAACCTTTCTGATGTCCATTTGCACACCCAATAATAATGAAGCAACTGTTTACCATGTCGAAGTTTCTTAGAAAAGCGTGAAAAAGGATGCGAATCTTATATAAATCGAGAAAAAAGACGATGTTCGCGACAGACTTGATAACGAAGTTCGTGGGTTTTTGTTGTTGTTTTTGCCCACCACTGCCTGCGATTGATCACGTGACAGCTCTGGTGACGTTACGATGACCGTCCCTATTTATGTATACATATATATAAATATACATATATATGCACATATATATATGTATATTTGTATATATATATTTATATATACATTTATATATGTTTTCGTGTTATGAAAATAATTATCATAATACAAAGAAGTGGGAGATGATATCAAAACTTTTTTTATGGGAAAAGAAAAATGTAAAGTACAAACGAACCAATAACATTACAGAAACATTACTCAGTTCAAACTTACCTTCATGTCGAGATGTAGAATATTTTTCGAGTGAATGAACTCTACTGCCTCGCAAACCTGACGCATGAATATAGCACAAGCTTTCTCAGTTAAGACGAAGTCGTCGTCGATCACACGTTCGAACAGTTCGCCGCCATCCACACTGTCGACATATTTTGAAATTTGTAAATGTAATTGTAGATATCATTATGATGTTTTATATACCTACGATGCAGATGAGGCTTTTTCTCATTATTTATACAAGAATGAAAGAATTAAATTTATAAAAACAAATATAGATATGTAATATTTATAATCTATACGCATGCCTGCTTACACACACAGACAAAATCCATCCACATACATACAAACACGAAAATCCATCCACAAACACAATCACAAACATAAAAAATACCCCACATAAACTTGTTTTAAAAACACACACCCACACACCACTACACTTACACTCAAACTCACACACATATATGCACACCGACACACATACAGGTACACGCACACAATCACACACACACACTCACATATACATATATACACCCATACCCACATACCCTCACACTCATTACCCCCCCCCCCACCACACACCAACCCACATCCCCTCTCCCCCTCCACACAACCCCAGCCCACAACCTCCCCCCTTACTCACACCTCGAGCACCAAACACATCTCTTTATCCATGTCAAAGGCATCGTAGAGCTGGATGAGTCGAGGGTGCGGTCGCTCGGCGTTCAGAAGCTTCATTATCTCGACTTCCCGCTCGACGTTGGCTCGATCTTGGTTTCGCTTCGTGTTGACGAACTTGGCGGCGAATTTCTGCCCGGTGGTTTTGTCCGTCACGAGGTACACGGTGCCGAATCTCCCCCTGGGGGTTGGAAAAGGGAGTTGGATGAGTTTGGCGGTGGGGGGGGAGTTTGTGTGGAGGGAGGAGGGAGGGAGGGAGGGAGGGAGGGAGGGAGGGAGGGAGGGAGGGAGGGAGGGAGGGAAGGAAGAAGGAGGAAGGAAGGAAGGAGGAGGGAAGATGGAGAGGCAGTAGGCATTATCGAGGTTGAGGGGAGGAGGGGGGAGGGTAGGAGGGAAGTAGAGGAGAGAGAGAGAGAGAGAGAGAGAGAGAGAGAGAGAGAGAGAGAGAGAGAGAGAGAGAGAGAGAGAGAGAGAGAGAGAGAGAGAGAGAGAGAGATGACAAAACAAAGGAAACGAAATACTCACACAGTTACAACAATAAATAATGGCAATGAGGATAACAGAAATATTAACAATAATAAAAGTAATGATGTCGATAGTCACAAAAGTTACACTACTACTAATAGTAATGATTATGATGACATCACTGACGACACTGCTACTTCTACTACTATCTTGCAGTTAACAATAGTAAAAAAAGAAGGGAAAAATAACATGAACAAATCAACAAATTAATAGTATTGATAAGAATGGTATAGTAATAAAAGTATTAATAATGATAGTAATGATAGTAGTAGTAGCAACAAAACAACAATAATAATTAAAATCATGATAATGATAACTAAAATAATAATCATAATCATATAATAAAATATCACTACTACTACTACTACTACTACTAATAGCAGTAATAACAAAATGACAAAACATCAGAAAAAATACGTTTGTGGCTGAATTTGGTCAAAGGATACCTGACCTTCGACACTGTATACCTTGAGCCACACATTTGTAACTGTCACGAACGTATCGTTAACCTGCAGCAAAAAGATTGTGAACGAATTGCACCCATTTGTTCAGTGAGGCGCATCAAGGCAATCCTTCGAGTACAACGAACTATTATATTTATCTTTTTTCGTTCCATTTGATTTTGTGCCAGGCCTCTCTTCCCGGCCGGTTCGAGCTCGGCAACAAGACGCACATCAGACGATATTTGACGAGAAACGAACTGTAATGTTAAACACGCCCAGAAAGAGCTGTCATTTCTGTCAAGTACAAGAGAGCCAAATCGTAGATATGTGTCATTTTGTTTTTTTTCTTACATTTTTGTTTTGTTTCCTTGGCGACGTGGAAGGTATGAAGGAACTTAAAACGTTATTTTTAGGGCATTCTTTGCATTGCTTGACAGCCGTCTAGTCTGGCAACCCTCACCTTTTTGCTTATTACATAATACCTTCTTTAGAAATAGAGGAAATGACGGAACTGTGTTATTTAAAGCATAACACGTTTAAAAACACCACTGCAAAGTACGATAAAAAATCTAACCTAACTAAACCCAAAACGGAAAACTCAAAAGAATCTAATTATACACCAAGAATGTCTTTCAAATACACCATCATTAACTACCTAAATAATGGAGAAAGAGAGAGAGATAAACAAGGAGAACCGCGAATTTAAGCGAGGTTTTAGCTGCATTGGCATTCTTGGCCCGGGCGAGACTTGGCAACGATGGCGGGCAAGCTTGGCGGCGAAAACGGAATGCTAGACAATGCAAACACACGGGGCGGCGAAGGAGGAGGAGGAGGAGAGAGGAGGAGGAGGAGGAGGAGGAGGAGAGGAGGAGGAGGAGCAGGAGAGGAGGGAAGAGAGGGAGGAGGTGGAGGAGAGGGAGGGAGGAGGAGGAAGAGAGGGAGGAGGAGGAGGAGGAGGAGAGGAGAGGGAGGAGAGGAGGGGGAGGAGGAGAGAGAGGAGAAGAGGAGGAGGAGAGGGAGGAGGAGGAGGAGGGGGGGAGGGAGGAGGGAGGAGGAGGGGAGAGGGAGGGAGGGGGAGGGGGAGGAGGGGGGAGGAGGGAGGGAGAGGAGGAGGAGGAGGAAGGAGAAGAGGAGAGGGAGGAGAAGTTGGAGAAGAAGAAAGGAGGAGGAGGAGAAGGAGAAGAAGAAGAAGGAGAAGAAAGGAGGAGGAGGAGGAAAGAAGAGACAAAAAAGGAGGAAGAACAAGAGGAGGAGGAAGAAGGAGAATAAGAAAAAAGGAGGAAGAAGTGGAGGAAGAGGAGGCGGGGAGGAAGAAGAAGAAAAACAGGAAGAACAAGAGGAGGAGGAGGAGGAAGGAGAAGATGAAAAGGAGGAGAAGGGGAAGAAGGAGAAGAAGAAAAATAGGAGGAAGAGGAAGAAGAAGAAAAATAGGAGGAGGAAAAGGAGAGGAAGAAGAAAAAAAAAAGTAGGAGGAGGGGGAGGGGGGGGGTTACCGAAAGCGCGGACGAAAATCGCACTTGATGGAATGTTCGTCGGTTCATAGATTGGATGGTGTGATTGTACTGATGGCTGTGGTGATGGTGGTTTTCATGGTGGTGACGGTAGTGAAAAGATGATGATATGGTGATGAGGGTCAAAATGAGATGATGGTCAGGGTATACATATATATATATATATATTTTTTTTTCCTTTGAGAAAATGAAATGGAAAATAGACATTCCCGACACTGAATTTACAGAAGATAAACAACACATCAACACGGTCCTAAAAAAATAACCTGATTCACCCCGCAATTTATAATTACAACCAGCACAAAAAAAAAAAAAAAAAAAAAAAAAATCAGTAAAAGACGACGTAAGATTAATCATCCGTCTAAAACTGTACACGAGGATTTAATGCATGCATACTTGGCCCTCTCGCATGGAAACGCAACCCGGACTTATAAGACATAAATCAGTGTCGCGCTTTGGCAAAATATGGTTTCGCATTTGACTCGCATGTCCTTTAAGCGATTTTCTCAACAGGGGAAGTATTCAGCGTTGGGCAAATGTGGATGTCTGTGATGGCTGTGGATGAGTTTGAAGTTGTGTGCTGCGGTTGGTGATATGGATATTGATTTCGATTATTTTAACCTGTTATAGTTCTCAATATTACTTTTTAAACATTTTCTGTTATCTTTTAAATGGTAAATTTAGAGTTTAGAGGACTTGAAGCATATAATTTTTGCATTTTAGTTTCGATACCCTATACTTCACGTCATAATTTCGAAAAAAAAGTGTTATACTATAACTCTACATCTAACAACTACCGCTTGATTTAGCATATTAATCATAATTATCATTGCACTCTGGCTGCCAACAGCTTGTGTATTATTGCCTTCGATAATTTCAACCATATGATACCATAGGATACATTATGGTCGAAGATAACTTTGACTACCATATGATTTACAGCCGCGATAACTCTGGCTTGAGTCTCATGGGTTCTTTTGAAAGGAGGGTGGGAGGTGGGAGGGGGGGTATTAGAGAACGCTGAGAAGAAAGAGAGTAAGAAGAGAGAGGAAGAGAGAGAGAGAGAGAGAGAGAGAGAGAGAGAGAGAGAGAGAGAGAGAGAGAGAGAGAGAGAGAGAGAGAGAGAGAGAGAGAGAGAGATGGTTTGTGTGTGAAAGAGAGAGAGAAAGATATATAGATATATATATATATATATATATATATATAGAGAGAGAGAGAGAGAGAGAGAGAGAGAGAGATAGACAGAGAGAGCGAGAGCAAAACCAAATGACCAAAAGATGGATATGAAAAAGCGAAGCCAAGAAAGCAATCTGACATATAAAAAACCCTTGGATGGAAAAAGCTTTTACAACAGACATATCCGCTTTGTGATCTCAACATCTCATTAGCTCTCCTCGTCTCTCATTAATGTATCATAGCAGAAAGAAGAGACAAAGAGATTATTAAGATCGTGTCGTAGAATTAGCATATTAGTTACCACAAAAAGTAGCATAAATAACAGAGGTAGACGAGGGATGGAGGGAGGAATGATCACTTTCTGACGCTTGAATCTACAGGTCCATACAACATTTGATGCGCTTGTAACAAACATGGACCCCCCCCAAAAAAAAAAAAAAAAAAAAAATCCTTTTAATTACCAATTACTTAGAATCACTATCACCATCATCACTTTTCGACTGTGGGTATACAGGCTTATTTCAATTTTTGCTGTCATGTTGAGGTTAAGTCTTCGCTGAGTGATAATTGTTGTGAAACAGAGTATATGTTTTCCCGGAACTAACTGTTGTAAAGGACTATATGAATACCAGACTGATAAAAAAGGCGGGAAATCGGGGGCGGCGATATGGCTGAGAGCGAACGCAAAAAGGATATTAATAAACTTTCGCCCAGAGGCAATGAGGAAGTAACCCCGTGACGTGCCAACTTATCTGTCAGTTGCGAGGTACTGCTTAAACATACCACATGCCACCCTCACGCCCCTCCGCCCGGCCCCACCCATTTCCACCCGCATACCACGACCTCTTTGCCCTTACCAACGCCCTCCACTTCTTTGTCTCCGCCCACGCCAAACACGCTTGGCTTTCCACCCTGGGTTCGGTAGCACGGTGATAGGGTTCGAATTCTCTCTCTCTCTCAACTCAAGTATCTGATTATTATTGTTATTTATATTTCCCTCCCTCTTCCTCTTTCTCTCTCTGCCTCTGTTTCCGTGCGTTTAAGTATATGATTATACCGTTGTTTATGTTTCCCTCCTCTCTCTCTCTGTGTCTCTCTGTAGCTGAAGTATATAATTATATTGTTTATATATCTCTCAGCCCCTCTGTTCATACTTAACCATTACATCTTAATACCTTCTTACTCAAACAAGCAGTTTTATTGTATTCTTTACATTCTACGATTCATTTAAGATTTTCTCAGTGCGTTAAAGTGTATAATTATATTGTTTATTTCTCTATCTGCCACTCTGTTCATATTTAACTATTACATCTTAATACGTTCTTACTCCAGACAAGCAGTTTTATTGTATATTTCATATTCTACGATTCATTACAGATTTTCTGTAATGAATCTGTTGTTTATATATCTCTCTGCTTCTGTTCATGCTTAACTATTACATCTTAATACCTCCTTACCTCAAACAAGCAGTTTTATTGTATTTTTTATATTCTACGATTCATTAGAGATTTTCTCAATGCGTTTAT